CCATTTTTATAAATGAGACATATGAGTGTGAGGAACCTTTGTAAAGTTTAAAGAACATCTGCGAAATCTAAAGGCTCTAGGAAGAACCTTAAATATGCATAGAACTTCTATATTACGTGGCAGTTCTTTACATGCTGATTCTCCAGATCATTGCTATACATTACCATATGTTACCATGGAGACTGGGTGGGCACGACTTTCGCAACTTTCAAATTGGCTGAACGAGCTCTAGGCTGAACTTGGGTTGTGTTTAACAGAAACCTCAGTTTATACACACACTTTAACAGAGTAAAACAACTTTACAGGGTTTACCTGTAAAACTAGTTTCCTAGATTCTGAGCCGGAATGCCGCGCCAGCCTGACGCCCACTCCGGAAACCGCAGGACCCCCTGATCATAATAATTCACACTGTACACTGCAAAAATAAAACAATCTAATCAAACTAAGAAAAAGGTTCTGGAATCAAAGCAAAATGATTTGCCTGTCTGGTCGGGTTTACATGATTTACACATCTTTGCAATCTGTTTAAACGAGGTTGTATTTTGAGTATTTAATTTCTTGAAATGAGAATGTTTGAACAGCATCAAGAGAGAATTTGCTGTTAAATAAACAAAAACAGTCTTAAATCTGCACTGTAATGTTTACCATGTGATATAATAAAGACTAGATTAGATTTGTATGTATTTCATTGAAAGTTAATTTTCAAGTGTTTAAAAGAATAGAAAGCCAGACTTCTGTCCAACTGAATTTTTAAAATTGTGTTGAAATTTCTTCTTTCTTTGTGAATTTCATAGTGGAGAGCTGTGAAGGTTTCAGTTCTCTTTGTTCGTTTTAAGACTGTGTGAGTTGATTTGTCTAAATGAGATGAAGTGTTTCTAAAAGCTGATTAATTCACACGTTTCTACTCTGGTCTCTGAATAAAAAGTGTATCTGATGTTCATTCAGACTTTCTCTCTGGTAAAGATTTCATTTCTGCACTGTAAACGTGTCACACAGGAAAAAGTAACTGCGTTATTGTAACACGTTACGTTGAACCGCATCACCCCCCCGACACCGCCAGTCACCCACCATCTGCGTCCGTGTGAATGGAGCAGCGCGGCTGTGAATGGTGTGTCTGTCTGTCTGTCTGTCAGATGATCTGCAGTGTGGCAGGCAGAGGGACTGCAGCAGCCAGCAGGGATTAGCAGGAGAGCGCAGGAAAATGACTCACTCTCTCACTCGCCCGCTCACTCGCTCCATGACTGAATCATACAAACCCTCCTCACCGCATTCAGCCTGAGACCGGGGCGTTTCCACAGCCTCCGCTCACTCAGCTCCACCACACGGCAAGAACATAGGGC